TGATACCAACCTACAATGTCTGCATTCAAACTAGTTCACAACTACAAACATTGAAGATGGAAATATGAAAAATACACACATACAGTGAAACCTGTCTACACTGGACACCAGTCGAACAAAGAATATTGATTGGTATGTGGAAAAGGAACTAGAGAAGATCCGGTTTGAAACAGGGTCCAGTTCTATGTTCAATTTGCATGGAATAAATTTTCCTTCCAGCATTTTCATGTATTTTTCTATAATATTGCACAAAATGTATATCGTTTCGCAAGATTGAAGGTTTTATTTTGTGAACGGCGGCCAAAGACAGCTTTAGCACACAATGGGTTAAACATATTTTACTACTGAAATGAACAAAAAATAAGTAAGACACAAGGCATAAATCATCACCATCAACAGTGCCCCCATTAACTGAACTGAATTTTTATTTTGTTTTTTCTCACCATGCCAAGTACTGCCGCTGCTTTGCATATTCCAGGTATGATGTACTGAGTGATCAATTCATCCTCCAATGGGTGGTTCTTTTGAACCTCTAGGAGAGTGTCAAACATCCACTCGTACTGAGCATGCTCAGTGAAAATATCAGAAATGCTTAAAACCTGTAGATAAAGAAAACAAGTATAAATCTATTTATTTCACGGATCAACAGGCGAAAAAATCTGATTGTGCATAAATTTGGAAGCACCAGCACATACAAGGGTTTGCATGAGGGAATGAGTAAGTCATCCTGCACAGATACAATATTAATTAACACACCCAGAGGATGTTGTAACTAAGTTACTTAGAACAATAATTACCAAATATCATCTACTATATATCATATTTATCTGTCCAAGCAGCGTTTATTTATTAACATGCACTGTGGGGCAGGAACAGAATGCAAGACCTATCAAATTAGACATCGTTCTCCCAAATCTAAAACTGTGTTAGAAGCGATAAAAGCACATGTGTACAAACATTTAATATATGTATTGTATACTATACTATTGAGATATGAATTATTTTGACCATATAAAAGCATGTCTTACTAATAGAACTAATACGGTACTGCATGTTTCCTGGTATAGAAACACTGTGTTAGAAGCGATAAAAGCACATGTGTACAAACATTTATATGTATTGTATACTGAACTATTGGAATATGAATTATTTTGACCATAAAAATGCATGCCCTACTAATAGAGCTAATACGGTACTGCATGTTTGGTGGTATGGAAATAAATGTTCTTTTGTTTAAACTGTTGAGTGATAAGTTGGCTGAATTGATCAAACCCACAGCTTTCTTGATGTGAAGTGAACATGCGAACCCATGGAAGTAATGGCTAACCATAGTACCTCACTCAGGTAGGATGATTTATAATAAGTGAATTTCCTTGCTGTCTTGCTTAGCAATAATTTAAAGTGTGCAATAAATTTAGAAACTCACAGATTTAACTGTTTCACATAAGAGCATGAGTGGAGTTTTAGGAGTGACGTTCTGAGACATCCACTGGCCGTACAGTTCTAGTAAAAACATCAGACAGGAATGGACGTCCAGCTTGCCAGGAGCATTGGAAACGATCATCATGGACACGCCTTCTTCTATTTCATGGGGCATCTCAGCCACAGGTGAGGGTAGATTTAACTGAGATCCCACTGATGGGATGGAAAGCTGTGGAAGATAATGTCAACATATATCTTAGCTATTTTATTTCAGCCTTCTTCAAAATTTTGAAGCACAAATGTTGGGATGGAAGTATATGGATACAAACATTAACACATATTTTTAAATAATTTTATTCTAGCTTTTTACAATCAATAGAATTGAGGGCTATGAATGAAAACGTCAATGAATGTTATTTTATTTTAGCCTTTCATAACAATTCCGCAAATGATGAATTAAATAGCTGTGAATGCAATCATCAACAACAAATATTATTGTAAATACACATAAATAAAGTTCTCTAACCGGTAAATAGATGAGGAGGGAACTCTTACCTGGCCCAGACTATAATGGAAACTATTCAGTTCTCTTTCCAGGTTTTGATGAAGTAGTGGTTCATCTGTATACTGATATTCATGATGACTGCAATGATCACCTCTGAAAAAAAAAAAGTTTGTTTTCAACAAAGAGAAACTACAATATGAGGCTTATCATCTCAATATTGATGAATTAATCATTGCATCAAAATACTACATACTTGTCTGATAACAAACTAGACAACAAGTTCAGTTAAAATCTGTATTAAAATTATTAAAATCAAAATGTTTTTTCAATCTGTAAGATTGCATGCCAAATTCCTCGCATTTGCATAATTGATAGACACAGCATTTCAGTCGTCATATTGGCGAATAGGAAAAATAAAATTTGTTTACATTTGAAGAATGAACACAAAATGAAACAAAATCATTCTTAATACCTCTTAGCAATTATCGCTCTGATGTCCATTTCTATTTCTTCTCTCAATGCACATAACTTTCTACCCATTGGTGTGGTAAGGAACGGTAGTTTACTATGTCTAGATACCAATCGGTATACGCTATTGGTCGGATTACCAGCTTCTGGTTTCATCAACGTTCTGACAAGTAGTGACGTGATGGCCCTGACAGCAAGACATGATGACTGTGTTCTCTCTATCTCTTCCTGCAATATGCAATAAAATGTAAATAATATCCACCAAGATATTTACGTTAACTAGAATTCAATTTAACATGGTTTCAAAGTCAACTCAAGTTTGACTGTGTCTGGTTTTCAGTTTATGGTCAGTCAATTAAAAAAAACTGTTTCATCTCATGAGAGAAATGAGAAATAACATTGAACATTTTTTGTACTTGACTTATTGGTAAATATATTTTTAATCTTTTTCGAGTTTTGTCCTGTTTTCTTTGCCAATTTCAAGATGTGCTTTAAATATAAACCTGATCACAACAGTAAAAGCAATAAAGACAAATAGCTTTCTCTAATAATTCACAAGTTTTGTAGCCTTCCACAGGATTTTCACCGTTATAAATTTTGATCAAGTCCTGCAAGGGAATACTAAAAGTCTGCCAGTTTGTGATGAAATTGGAATAAATTAGTATCAGGGAAAAGACAACAAATTTAACTAAAGTTTCTAGACTGGAGCAGTAAGTACTAAATTACTGCAAAGATAATGCCAGCACACATGGTGGAACTCCATGCCATTAAAATCCAGGTCACTTTTAGGTCAGTACAACAATAATGTTATTTGTACAGACAGATTACCTCAATGGACATGTCAACACTCATCGGCGGTGAACTCAATACTCCCAATAATGCCGCCCATGTTTCTTCAAACTGTTGTCTTGAAGTCCAACCTGTCAGATCCGAGAAAAATGAAATGTAAAACATAGAAATGTAAAAAACAGTTTTGTATCTGATGAACCATCAGGAGTCAAAAACACAGTGTGAATTTATCTATGAGATATAAAACAATACTATGTAGAGTACATAGCACAAAGCAGTGAGACTCAGAGCTGTACAGAATTGAATATAACACAGATGTAAACTGTTTTGACTTCAAAATACATTGTAATACACAATGCTATTATGACAGAAACCGCACAGGTTACCCAAAAATTACACAGATGTTGCATAAATATAATTTGATGTTTCATCAATTTTGCAAAAATTTTGAATTCAACATAGCAGAGTGAATCTTTGACAACTGTCTCTGCCAATTGGCAAATAAGGGCATGCCATTTGCATATGATATTTCTATGATCAAATGAAAAACTCATTGAAAATATTTTAAGAAAGTAATGATATTACTTTTATATTTGGGTAATTAGGTACGATACACTGCCTGAAGCATACAATGTACTGTAATCGTGAACCTAACTCACCTAAGACGTTGACACGATAAAGGAATTGCTTGAGTACTTCCTTATCTTGTAAATACTCTACTGGCAGTGGTGGCAGCTTAGTTTGCAGAGGTCCAGAGGGTGTAGGCATCCAACCCATCTTCCAAGCGATGCTCGGTGTCCTAGCGTAACTATTAACTAATGGTAACCTCGCCAGGCCGATTATCACGTTCCTCATGGTCGGTGCTAGGAATGGTGGAACGGGGGTATTTTTCAGACGTCCCTTACTGAGGTGTGACTGCAGACACTCAACAAGTTCTGTGGTCTGATCGCAAGCCTTACCAACTTTATGGAATTCTGAATGAAATAAACAGAATACAAATTATAATTGGTGATCGAACTAAGATAGAAGTCGTGGCTGACAACAATTTAGTAAACATGCTACTATGGAACAAAACGTGACTAAGATTGGAGACGATTGGATAGGCAATGACAGGATATAATGCAATGCATGCTAGTTAAAACGATGGCATACTGCCCTCAAGTGGTAAGAACATACATTGTTCTCTTGAAAGCAAACATCAAAATGTCTGGAACTTATCATACACACAATGCTATTATGAGAAAAACAGCATATATGCATATCATTATGAAATACATCTTATTTTTTAGCCAAAAATTCACAGAAAGGTTTTTTATATGAAACAGGCTGACAGAAATAGAGTTGTTAGATAAAAAGAGAATGCAACATTCCATGTTAGACCAGTCTATGTTTGATGAGCAATTCCACTATTATTTACTGGTGTCAGCATAAAGAAAATGGCAATCACCACACTTATCCTATGTATACACTTGCAAATATGTGTTAAGAAAGTGCAGCCATCAAGTAACTAATACAGACCGAAATGTCAGCCATGA